CTATGGAGTATGATTTTTAAAAAAGACTTGTCTAAAATCAAAGTTTACTGTTCTAATTAATAGGCACAGCATTTTAAAAGAACATTCTAAATACTTTCACATCTGTTAGGAAGTTCGTGGTTCTGCATTCTAGCCCTCTTGCCCTCATGTCTCCATTCTTTAGGCCTGAGGCAGAGATGCCCCCACTCCCAATCTTCTGCTCTAGAGTCACTACATAGGGCAAAGGCTAGACAGCAAGGACTCCAGACTAACCCTGACAGTGAGACCAGTTTTCTGAGCAATCTTAAGAAAGTCATTTAACCATTTTTGACTCAGTTTTCTACTGTGTGATAAAGAGAGCTACCCATCTTTTCCCCAACCTCCTGTGACACATGTCAGTTTTACACAGCATTCTGAGTTTCAGACAAATAAGCCTTTGATGTGGTCCTTCTCCAGCCACCAAGAGCCAGGGCTCCCCCATGGAATGGTGAGTGGGCCTGGCATTTCAGGTCTGAGTGTCAGACAAGGAGATTTGTGTGCTCATGAACCACCTTGTGATTGTACAAGGAAGGGGGTAAAGGATGGAAGAGCCAATAACAATTCTACTGACCTGCAAAAAACTATTAGCACCTGCTAGTGTAATATGCAGCTGGCAGTTTCAGAATAACCGAGAAAGCAGTTCCTTCTGGTCGATACTTGCTGGGGACAGCAATTTCTGACCTACTGAATCAGATCAAGATCATCTGAGTCATTAGAGCAAGGAAGCTTCTTTGTGCTAGCGGTCCAGGGCCAAGCAGGCTCCTTCGTTAAACAAAAGCTTCTGCCCACAGCTGCCTTCCAGGCCAGTTCTGCTTTAAGGTTCCAAGGGCTATCACAACACAAGGAATAAATCAAAACTCATTTAAAAAAAAATCACAGCTTTAAGTGGGCTTATAATTTATCAGCACAACCGGCAGTGAGATGCCAGGTGGTTGTCCCACTCTCCTTAAGAGAAGACAGAGGGAGAAGAGTGGAGCAGAAAAGGAGAAGAGAGAAAGGAAAGGTCCCCTGCAGTATTTAGATGGTCTTCAAATGTTCATCATTTCCTTGGGGTGTGCTCGTTGCCAAGCTGACAGATGTTGCAGGAAACCTGTACTGTTCTGAAGAAAGGCTAACCTTTCGAAAGTGGAAGGAGGCGGGAGGAGGCCCACCGCTCAGCCAAGAGATGACATTAAACTGGACAGTAAAGCACCCGTGGCGTGCTGGATCTGAAAGGTGGTGTGATAACCCCACCACACAGGACGGGCCTGGGAGACAGTTCATCTTACTATGGCTTTCCTTGCTCAGAGTGCAAACTGATTTTTAAACTAAATAATAGAATGATTAAGGCACTCCAAAGGTTGCTCATTATGGTTTCAAACCAACAATGGGGAGTTGCGGAGTCTCCATATAACTCCCTCCCAAGCACTTACCCACTCACTTTCCCAGTCATTCTTCCTTGTTGCATTTAAATATACCCCCTCCCCCTCTCTCTCTCTCTCTCTCACACACACACACACACACACACACACACGAGCATGTTTTTCAGAATAGATTTCACAACTGGGTGCAAACTTGCATGGTTCTTCGGCAGGCTAGATCCTCAACACTTCACAAAGAAAGCTACTCAATAGAGGGCTGAGAAGGCCGAATACTAACTTATGATATAAATTGGGCTTTGCAAAGCCTAGCTCATTCCAACAAAGCAGCAAACAAACATGTGATGGCTCTGCTGAATTTCCTTATGAGTGCTCAGTGTCCCCATGGTAGACCTGGCTAACCACGGGGCTTCTGTCCTCGTTCTGTAGAGGATGAGCCACTTCTTTTTCTCTAAGCTATACTCCTTGCATTCCCAGCTCTAACCCTCCTGCTCAAAGTCCCTGTGTTCTTCATCATCGACGTGAACACTCATCATTTTCCTGTGCCCTACTTTCACCCGATGTTTTGTCGGCTTTGTTGAGGGGTGGCTCACCCAGTGTCTTCTTGTGGAAGGCGGGCAGATTAACTAATCTATCCATTTAGAGATTAACAGTAATAGGACACAAGGAAAATTATACCTCCAGCCTGAAAAACCTGCAATTGGGAAACCATTTTAGAGAAGAACACCTCCATTTATATCAATTATCTTGTTTATCAAAGACAATGAACTGCCGGCTGGTGGCAAAGAGGTTCAGGATGTGCAGCGAGGACTAATCGGGCCTCACAAACCTGGAGGCTGATAGCCATTTGCCACTTCACAGGGGAGGTGATGCTCACAGTGTCTGTTGTGTAACTTCCCTCACATTAACTCTGAAATGTCAAAAGCAGGCAGTTAATTGTTTATTATACAAAATGTCACATATGTAAAACACTCAGATATAAAATTATTATAACTGATCTTCCACAGATATTCTGCCTTTCTGCTTTACAGCTTGTTTGTCAGTCTGGAGCTCAGTTTAATTGCCATTATGTAGGCTGTGTGTGCCAGGCAGTTACTGTCTGAAGAATAATATTCGCTGCATTTGCTATGTCTTCAGCCAGTTGAAAAATAAAAATAACATGATATGAAAATTACTATTATGGTTTAAAGTAATATGCCCTCAGAAGAATGGGGGATGTCATGAATCCCAATTGTGTTCTAGCTTAGACTGAGACCAGAGATTAATTATGCAATGCTAATGGGAGTGGTTTTAATTGACTGGATTGGGTACATACAGCCCAGCTTTCTCAGCTGTTCTGTGCAGACACTAATGTTGAACTAAGTGATGAAATCACCTACCTTCAGGAGTTAAGTCTCAGCATCTGGCAAATGTACAGAGCCCAAACCCAGCTCCTGGGCTGCCCATTATTCCAATCTTGCCAAACTCACCCTCTGGAATCTTGTTATTTTTAAGCTCCAATAACTCAGTTTCCCTCCAGAGCCATAAAAATCAGAAATCCAGGGATAGGAAAGAATCCGGAAAGGATGTGGGAGGAGTCAAGCCCAGATGCATGTTTCTGTGGAGGACTGGCCAGGGAACTGGGGGTTCCTCACTGCCCTAGTAGACACGATGTACCTATCCAAACTTTTGTGGCTAAGATGATTGGATAACAACAGAAACCAACTTGCCGTGCAGCTGTCAGTGGCACACACAAAAGGAACACACTGCTCTGTGCCCATAGTGGCTTAGCTCCCACCAGGATCATTGTGGTCTCAGGCACATGTTAATCCCCACCTAGTCAAGTACTGGTAGAGAACCTGCAGGAAGGCAGCTCAGCAAATCAAGTTCATAGCTAAAATGCTGAAGACCACCTAGGTTAAGAATTAGAAAATGTGCATTTTTATTGTCCCGACAAAGCAAAGGAACCAATGCAAGGCTTTTTTGTTTATTTTTTGAGACAGGGTTTCTCTGTGTTGCACTGGAACTCACTCTGTAGATCAGGCTGGGCTTGAACTCACAGAGATACGCCTGCCTCTGCCTCCCGAGTGCTGTGTTCCACCACCGCTCGGCAGTTCAAGGCATCTTAATATAGATTTGCTTTCCAATCAGCCTAGAGGTGGTTAAGAATAAGTCCATTTTACTTAAACAAACAGGTATAAAAAATCTAAAATAAATACTAGCCAGCTGGTCTAATAATTACTTTGAAAATTGATCATGTTGAGGCAACACGTGTCCGAGAAACACAGTAAGATTCATTAGGATGTCACTCCTTTCACAGGTGAAAGGTGAGAAAGTTTGTGAGTTTTGCATGATTGTGAACAAAGGAGTGAGTTGTCCAGGAAGATTACCTTGGCTGAAGTCAGGAGAATGGTGAAATGTCCTAGAGAGGACTTGAGGCCACTGCTGAGTGGATAGACCATGGGGATTATGAAAAAGGCAGTAGCTGGCATTAGGGTAGGGGCAGCAGCAGTAAGGAGAAACTGACTATAAATAAGAGCGTCAGTTTCAACAAAAACAATGACACACTCCTATATGGCTGGCACAGTCACAAAGCCACACACTTGATGTGCTGGTGGTGGGGTGTGCACTGGCAAAGCCACACACTTGATGTGCTGGTGGTGGAGTGTGCACTGGCATAGGCAGGCAGCAAGGTCATCAGGAAGCATGGGGCAAGGTCAGCTTGTGACTGCTTTCTAAATGAGGTCCTCCCTCTTGTACAGGGTCCTGCAGGAGGGAGGCTGGGGCCAACCAGGGCCCTCTCCAGGGAAGTGAGTGCATCAAAGAGGGGAGGACAACAACAATGGCCTGCAGGACTCTCAGGAGGGGACAAGGGGTCAGTTGTCTAGCACTCAGGGGGACACAGAAATTCACTAACAAGATCATACTCATAAGACTATGGAGACACAGTGAGATACAGACCTTAACATATGGGATGAGAGAAGCGAGAAACAGATGACTCATAGCACAAAACAGCTCTTAAGATCAAAACACACACCCACAACTGTTAGCCTTATTCGTGTGAAAAAAATGCACACATTAAAGAAATAAACACACTAGAGCTGTTATCCAGAGAAGGGGCCAGGAGTAGGAGGGCTCAAAGGAGAACTGTGGGAGAGAGGGCCTCGCACAGAACAGGAACACACAGGCTATGGTCTGAGGTCTGCAATAACACCACTCTGTACTTTGGATTCTTGCTTAGGAACCAAACAAGCCTCCCCACAGCCACAGGGGCAGTTTCCCTTCTGCTCTAGGTCAGAAGGCGTAGGGAGAGGACCGTTTTATGAGACAACTTTACTGATGCAGCCAGTTCTCATTAGTCTCAGATTCACTAAACTTGGGAGATCCTGTCTCGCTTATTATAGAAAAATTCAAAAGCAGAGTGGCAAAGGGATCTGGTTGAGCTGGTCCTCAGAATCTGTCCATCCATCCTTCTTTCCCCCTGGCATTCTGTCTAGAATCCAGGGCCCCCTGGAGCAGTTCATACCCCACCACTTCTGTCCTATTGAAAACAATGTGAAGAAATACATAGTTACAAATGAAAAAAGTGGTCTGAGAGGAACGTTCTGATCTCTGAACATCAAACAAAGAAACCTACTCAGTACAGTGCTTGTTCCAGCAGTACATGTGCTAAAATTGGAAAAATACACACACTAATTAGCATGGCTGCTGTACATGGATGACAAGAAAATTCATAAAGCATTCCTTATTTTTTCTATACAAGTTACATTTGGTCTAAACTTTTTACTAATTACTATATGTAAATAAAAGATTATTTTAAAAAAAAGAAAAGAAAAGGAACCCAAAGAAACTTAATACAGACTAGGAGAAAAAGAGGTAGAGAAGACTTGTCCTAGAGAAGGGACAACAGACAGAAAATTAATGAGAGACTGCCTGAGTGAAGGGACAAGGTGCAATGGCTGCGGGCAAGAAGGGGAGCATAAAGAAGAGTGGAAAGGGTGAAGACCTCACGGTCTCTGGATGAGAAGTCCTGCCAGGCCTGAGCATAGAAAGCCAGGCAAGGACCTGTACCACATGGGGCAAATATGCTGGCAAGGAACAGTGAGGACCTGGGTGAGGACTCTAAACTTCACCCCATGGGCAATGGAAAGACCTATTTTGAGTCAAGGTGCCTTCTGATAGGCTAACTCTGAGGTTGACACTATGGAGCACAGGCGGTAGCTAGCATCTTGCCTTATGGTGGCAGCAGCAGTGACAAGAGGGCAGACTTGTCATTTTGAATACAATATCAATATGGAAGTTGCTGATATAGTACAAACCATCTCTGATCGTGTATGTTTTATCATTTCCCAGCAGACTGAGTGGTCACTAGAGGCACCTCCTCTTTAGTGTAACAGGCATCTACTGAACATTAATCCACCACAGCAACACTGGGAACATGAAGATGGACCCAGGGAGGCTGATTCAAGTCAGAAGGAAGGAGGTAGGGTTGCAAGCTTTTCTAACTGCCCTTGTCACCAAAACCCATCACGATAGCCAAGCAGCAGCCGTCCAGTCAGGGCTGTGGTGAGGGACAGGCATTTGGCCTCTCTGCACTGTTGGCCCACTGCAAGGATAGCATTTCTGAATGGAAATCTCAATCAATTCCTATTTGCTATTTTACAGATTTCATTTCTGGAAGATGCCAACGCGAACATTCTAACACCTTCTGCATTTTTACAGCTCACTCGAGTCCCTCACTTCCACACTCTGCTTTATTACCATTTTAGTTGACTTCATCACAGCTTCATGGAAAACAGCTTCACTGACGACCATTTCCTGTCATTATGGGGGCAGAATTGCAGTCACGGCCTGCTTGAGCACTAGGTAGTTTTTATGATAATTTTACACAGGTAATGTTGTGATTTTTAAGTACGTTCTCTCTTGTAGCACTGTACTGATTCCTGTCCTTAGAAAGACAAGTATCTAATGCAGCTATAAAAGAAGCATACCCATCTTCACAATATTAATGAGCCAATAAATTCAAAAAGATTGCTGTGTCCTGCCTGGCTCACCTAACAGGCTCCCATTTCCATACCACTGCTTCATTTTACATGAATCAGTGACCCACCCTCACCCTGTGGCACAGGATTATGAAGCAGTAAGGGTTCAGTCATGTAGAGACCCTTCCCAAAACATTTACTGCAGCAAGCTATCACTCCCACAGCCTCCAAATCCTAAATTGTCCGGTGGCCCACAAAAATACAGCCTGCCTCACGTTAGTAAGTGTGTGATGCCGTGGTTTCCAATGGTTCCAGAAATCCTTTCTCCCCAATCCTCCCTCCCATTTATAGCATGTTCCCTGACATACAGACAGCACCGGCATACACTGAACAGCACAGACTGAACATGCACAGTCCATTGGGCTCGGAAACATGCAGCAGCCTAGGAGATCAGCACAAACAAGCTGGGAAGCTCCGTGCTGGCCCCAGACGCTGTCACTCCTCACCAGTCTCACACTGTCTAGACTCGTCCACCCTCAGTCAAACAGCAGCTGCAGCGATGGGTCCATTCTGTAGAATCATAAGATGAGCCACCATACTGCAGGCCAGCATTTTCTCTCACCCATGAAGAGGACGGTTCTCAACTGAATGGACCATACAGTTAGAGTTCTAAGGAACAGCCCTGTCTGCCACTCGGTCATGTCTCTCCTTTAAAGAGGGTAACATGGAAATAGTTTTACATGGGGCTGGGAGATGGTTCAGTTGGTAAAGTGCTGGAGGTACAAACCTGAAGAGCTCAGCACAATCTCCAGCACCCATGAAAAAGCTAGCTGTGGTAGCGTGCTGCATGTAGAAAGGGGTGGATCCCTGGAGCTTACCAGGTAGCCAAGCAGGCTCAAAGTTCAGTGAGAGGTTCTGCCCCCAAAAATAAGGCAAGCAATCACAAACATCCACACTGACATATGGCACCCAAGTGTGTACATACGTAGCTGCACAGCATTACCCACAATACAAAGCCATGTACAAACACACACATGAAGGAATGTTAATCTCTGCCCTCCCCATTTATATAAACAGGTTTCACATGTTCACAGAAAACATGTAAATGAAGAAAAACACACTTCATGTGTCCAGCAACTAGGAACTGTACCTACGTCTTCAAGCTCCTTAGTTTGGTCTTCCCCATGTACTACCAAAGCTTGAACTCACGCTCCAAATTTCATCTGCCCAGGAACCCATATGCAGAGGCTCTCAAATAGGTCCTTTAAAGATGGAACTAAGATAAAATGATGAACCTCATCACACATGGCCAGTGTCCTTATGAGAAAGGAAGAGATACCGTAGAAGTGAAACAGACAGATGAAAGGCTGAGAAAAGGCACAGAGAAAGATGGCCACCCTCATGCTCAAAAAGAGGATTGTAGTTTGCTGACACTACAGTCTGAACTTCTGATCTCCAGAACTGTGAGGAACTGATGGAGGAGTTACTTTCATTTAATAAAGAAACTGCCTTGGCCCATTTGATAGGCCAGCCCTTAGGTAGGTGGAGTAAACAGACAAGAATGCTGGGAGAAAGAAGCCGAGTCAGGCAGTCGCCATGATTCTCCCACTCCAGACAGATGCAGGTTAAGATCTTTCCTGGTAAGCCAGCTCGTGGTGCTACACAGAATATTAGAAATGGGTTAGAGATCAATACGTAAGAGCTAGCCAGTAAGAGGCTAGAACTAATGGGCCAGGCAGTGTTTAAAAGAATACAGTTTCTGTGTAATTATTTCGAGTAAGGCTAGATGGGTGGCGGGAAGCAGCCCCACCGCTCTACACTACTACAGAGTGGCTGCTCCTATTACAACAAGGAACTGTTCGGTCCTGTTGGCCACCCTCTTGCTCCATGTTATTTCTATGGCTGTCTTAACAAATGTACAGGTGCATATGTTAAGATGTATATTTTAATTTTATAATATAAGCATCACTCTTGCTATAAAGGGGGTACCTTCTTCTACTTAACATTATATTGTGGATATTTTCCTGCACCATAAATGACTTTACAGAAATTCTGACGTGTGAGTGTGGCATAACTCATTCCATTATGTCTTTACTATGGTTCAATGTGTAGCCCTTCCCTTACCAGGTTACCATAAATAATTTGCACTGAACATTTCTACAGAGGAAATGTTTCTTTGGGATAAAGTGCTAACAGTAGAAATAGGAGGTCATGGTTTTACTGGTTAATTTTATGTCAACGTCACACAAGCTAGAATCACTTGGGAACTGTCCATCTGAGTCCCTCGTACGTATTATTTTAGCTGCTTTGATTTTCTTTCTCCTTGTTGTTGAGTTGCTTGAGCTCTTCATACATTTTTGGCACAATCCCTATCAGGTGTATGACTTATAAAGACTTTCTTCCCACCTGAAGATCATCTAATGTACTGTTGTTTCCTTTGACGGGTAGAAGTTTTTTTTGGTTCCATTTGCTTCATTCATCCCTTTTTGCTTTTCTTGTACTCACTTTAGGGGTTAGGGAAAAAACTACAACAAAACCATTGTCCAAACCAATGTGTAGTTTTTCCTCCTATGCGCTGTGACTCCCAGATGTTTTCTCTAGAGGTTTTATAGTCTGGTCTTAGGCTTAAGTCCTTAATTCAGATGAAGTTGAGTTTTGTGTGTGGATGTGATAAGGGTTCACTTTCATTCTTCTCCATGTGGATATCCAGTTTCCCCAGCCCTGTTTGCTGAAGGGGCTCTTCTTTCTCATTCCATATCCTTGGCATGGTGGTCAATAAACCAAAGCTCACTTCAAATGTAGAAGGACAAGGGTATCCAAAGAGAGCAAATGACCATGGTGTTGTTATCACATTTGCTTACGCGTGTTATCCCTCTTTATAACCCATACACCCATGTTAAAAATAATGGCACAGAAATAAAAGGAAAGAGAACAATCTGGTACCCCCAGAAGTCCTCTTCGATCCTGAAACCAAAGGTAGACATTACAAGAGCACTCCTTTCCCTATTGCATACACTTGGCACAGAGGTCAAGAGTCAACTGTCTGTACACATGTGGGTTCCTCCCTAGGCTCTTCATTCTCTCTTAGTGAGTATGTTCCTTTTCCTCTCCCCATCTTGCCCATGACTGCTTTTCCTTCCTACAAGTCTACTCCTGCATCAACAGCGAGTGTCCTTTAGTATGCAGCACTAACTCTAGACACAGCGGGACAGTCCTCATTCATTCATTTTCTTTTCTTACTTCAGTGTCTGACATAACAACCTTTTAATTTCACATAAGACCTTTGGAATGTGTGAGCTTTCAGCCTCCCCAAAGCTCCAAAACCCACCAGAGAGCATCTATAATCCACGGGAGTCTATCCTACTTCACTGTAGCACACTTACATCGTGTCCTCACCAATGCATCTGCAAATGCTCTGGTTTATGACACATAACCACTTCCACACAGACACATGTTACCAGCACACACTGAGCACTGGCGACTCTCCTGAGCTTCTGACTTCCCTTCTACTCTATAAGGTCTGGCCTGGTCCATAACCTGCACCCGGGGCTCTTCTAACCTCATCCCCTCAGCACAGGCTGGGGCTCCTCTTCAGTTCACTGTTCCTGTTCCACCAGCTTCCTGTGTTGTTGCCTGCCCAGTTTAAGTCATTCTCCTCTATTAGCATACATGATCCTCCCAGGCAGAAACTACACCTGTGTCTCCTTTCCCAAGAGTCTAAAATAATGCTTAGCAGACTCTTAATAAGTGTCTACTTAATGCCAAGTGGTT